GCTCCCGCCGGAGCTGCTTTATTCGCCTCCCTCTAATACCGAGCCTGCTTATTTGGCAGTTTCTCAAGTTACTCCCCTCAGGCAGCTTGAGCCAGTAAAACTAGATCCTTTCATCTCGGCGGAGCTTACTGACAACCAGCCGTCTGGTTTCCTAGGAAACAAAATCTTGGCTAGAAATAGTGAATCATTTCCAGGTCACTTTCAACATGGAGAGTGGAGCAGGGAAGCATTGGACTGAGGAGGAGGTTAAAGCCTTGTTAAGCGTCTGGTCAGAAAAAAATATCAGAAAGCAACTCCACGGCACCCTGAGGAATAAAGGAATATTCATCTACATTGCTAAAAGGTTACAGGAGTTAGGAGTTTGCAGGGATTGGAAACAGTGCCGTGCAAAGTATAAAAACCTGAAGTACGAATACAGAACGGTTAAATATGCCCACAACTCTGGGGATGTCACTAAAACCATGAAGTTTTTCCATGATCTGGATGCCATATTGCGATACGAACCTGTCACACAGTTAGCAGCAGAAGAAAACGGCAGGTGTTCTGCGACTGAGACGCAGCTGAACACAAGCCCCACAGCAGAGAGCGCGCAAGGTAAAAACCCGTTTCTTTTGCTTCTATTTCTCTCTCTTTGCTTAAAAAACAAAGGGAACAAAACCGAAGCCCGAGTTTGCTGGAGCCGAAGCGGAGGTTGCGCAACAGCGCTGTTAGAACTGACTTGATGCACTCCTCGCGCAGGGGAATAAAATGTGAGCACCCACCAGTGTCGAAGCCTGTAAATACAGCGTAATTCTAGCAAAATTACGCTAACTGCTTGTATTGCAGCTGCGGTGAGTACTCGCTGGTGTCAAGGCTCCTGCGCGGGGTTGAAACGTTTAATGAAGAAAAGCTCTTTTCTTTCCCTTTGCCATTCTTTTGCAGTACTTTGGAAGCTGGTTTTGTAAAGCTCCAATTCAGATGTAAACTTAAAGAAAGATAAAAGTAAAGGTTGCAACTGTCATGATTTTTTAAAAATCATTATTTGTGATACAAGTGAAATGTAGGATTTTTATTCTTATTTCTCTGACTGAAATTTAGGTATGATGAATAAAGGTAAATTAAATTATTTTGTAAGCAATTCAACTTAAATATTTTAGAAACAGAGGAATGTTTAATAACTTCTCATTAAAAACTGTAGTGAGGAAAGTAAAAATCATGTTTATCACACTATTTAGAGGCAAACCAAATTAATACAAAGGCTTTTATTCTGAAGGAGTCTTAACCAAATTATTTGCATCTCTTGTTTTATTCAGCCCTCTCTACATATGCATGTAAGCTGTGCTTAACATTTCATTAGGGTCAATCTGTTATGTGACATCACCCAAATCTCCTTGTCACGTCCTAAATGTCAGCGAAGCGTAAGCCCCAATAATAGTTGTAAGTACCAAAATAAGATGGCTAAAAGGAGAAATGCAAAGCATAGCCGTTTGTTCCCACAGTATGTGACAATCTACCTTAACTAAGATTGTGAATCTTTTTTAAGAAAACAAAAAGCACTACATGTGTATCAGGGGAAATTGCCAAAGGCACAGAAAGGAGCTGGACATCTAGTTTGCCCTTGTACCCTTCCATGTCTCCATCTACAATGCTGTTTTACAGGTCTGAGGAAAAGAAATTGCCATTTTTCCTGTCATTGTTTACCTTTATGAAAAGCTTGACCTTAATTTGTCATCCCTAGCAGAAAGCCTCTAATCTGTCCAAGTCACTTTAACATAAAACGGCAATTTTATAATATTTTAAAATGTGCATTCTGCACTGTGTATTTCAATCCATTTTTATTTTTAAACTTGCAGAACTGAGGGCCAAATCTTTGGCTACTGTAAGCTGCTACACTTCTGAGGACTACATGAAACTGAGATAGCGTCCTTCATCTGAGGATCTGCCCTTAGATTACTCTCTGTGTTTTGATGTAGTTTGCACCAATTGTTAATCCTAATTCTCATGTGCCTTAGACCTCTAGCAAGTTTAAATCAGAAAAAGTTAATTTCAGTTGTGAATTCCAAAGCAGATATATTTTTTAAAACCTACCCCTGGGTGAGACACACCTCATTTTGAAGCATTAGGACAGTCTGGGTTTAAAGGTGATATAATTAAATATATCTATTAAATGCACAAGCATTTCTGTTACTCCCTTAAAAAGATAAAAACCAGTTTTATGGATAAACAAAAATTAAATGCAACTAACTGTAATAATGCAACACTAGTTGTAAGAATTTAAATGCAACGATTCCCACAACGACCATAATTCAGCCACAAAGAAAACACACCAAGATCTAAGTGTGTCCTGCAGCTACGCAGAATGCATACATCCGTAACAAGGGGCAGGGAGAACAGCTGTGAGAGCATCAACTTTCTTCATTTAAGAATACAAGTCAAGCAAGTAACGCCGTGCTAGGGGCCCAGTCCTTTTCCGCCTGCAGTCAGAGTTGCAATGTCTGCCCAGCTCACTACCTTGAAGGGCCCTTGTAAGGCTAAAATGGCACCTGTGGCTCTGCAGCTGATGTTCACAAGTTCTTTTGTGGGGAGAGATCTGTCGGTGTCGCTCCCATGGGAAGACAGGCAATTCCCTGTGAAGGGAGCCCGCTGCCCCTGCCCCATCAGGGAACATGGCTGCTCCTCCACTGCCCATGGGAGGAAGGGGACTGCTTTAATTTGGGTACCCTCTGTAAGGCAAACTGACCAAAGCACGTTTGCATCCCTGCAGGTCCCCTCCTGGGCTTCTCTCTTTCAACCACAAAGCGTGACAGGAAAGGAGGGAAAAATGGGCCCTCCTCTCTTTAAAAAGAGGCTGACACACCTCATTTTGATAGAGCTGGAGGATGAGGATGTCTAGGCTTGTGACTTGGGTAGCAAGAACAAAATGCCATCAGCAAACTAAAAGCCATGCCAAATGAGACTGCCCACCATGCACATCTTATTTCATTTGAAGAATTTAGTAGCTATACTAATTTGCTTTGTTTAAAAAGCATGAGAAGGGACAGGGCATGCTCCCAAAGAATTACAGTATTTTTACTGTTCTGCTTAGCCTCAGTCTAAATATTCATATCCATCCTTAATGTAAAGCTACAAAGCATGTGTTTGTGTTTGATTTGCCTGATTATCTCAACTGCTGCGAGATTGCTGGGGAGGGGGGTGAAGGGGAAAGAAGAAAAAAGAGACTACTTTCATGGGACTGAATAGTATTTCTGTAGCGTTTCCCCAAGATTTTTCTTCCTATCTGGTAAAATCCATTTTCTTTTAAAAGTATACTTGAGGAAATTAATACTGAAAGTCACAATCAAATCTGAGAGAGAGGTGTCTTGGAACAGACTTGGTAGCAACACACACACCAATTCCTGGCTCGTTGATGGAAAGATGACACTTTGTGCATAAGCAGATACGGCAGTGCAAGCCAGAGATGTTCGTGTTGTCCTCCCAAAAAACACGTTTTCAGAGGTAAACACAGAGTTGTAGCTTAAATAATCATTAAAAAAGATAGAAGGCAACATGTTCACTTCTCTTAAAATTTACTTTGTGTATTGTCTCAGTAATCAACAACCAAGAAAATCCATGTAGAGTGATGGTGCACTATGAAAAATCGTATCTTTCACTAGAGTTCAAATGAATGACCTTCCCATTTAGTTAACCAGTTTTGATTGTTTCAAGTTAAATCAAGTATTAATAAATCAAGTACAAGATTTGCAAAAGTAACGCTCACCTAGTAATTCATGTTAAGTAACTTACGCTCTTTTATATTTCTCTCTTTATGTTTAAATATTAATGCACTGGTCACTTGCCTTGACCTTCACTTTACCATGGTAAATGCAGAAAAATTATCAAGTCTGAGCAGAAGTGCATCAGCAATGGCAGTATTACCACATGCACAGAACCCAACCAGCTACTAGAAATGCAAAAAGATCCTTCAGAAATGCCGACTTACAATGCTACTCATACATAGTTTTCCATGTCTGGCCTTTAACATTAAACATGCCATTGACAAGTAATTTGTATTTTTTTTAGTAAGTGTGCAATACTTTTATTGAGTAACATTTTTGCTCATCAGATGCTTTTTTTTCCCCATCAAATATTCTAACATATTTTTGTGCGAACTGTTCTTATTTACTTTAAATAATAAATTGCTTCTTTTTAATATTACAATGTAATGAAACTTGCTCATCGTAGTACCCACGGCACACTCAGCAGCCTTCCAACAGAGAATTTACTTCCCCTCTCCGTAGTTTGCTTTGCAGCTCTGAAGCAGATAAAACGCCAGACCTGGCGCTGGAGGTGGAGGCATGAGCAGACCTTTCCCTCCGTCAGCCCGGCCCAGGGGGTAGCAGCTCCTGCCCGACGAGCAAGGCGGGCAGCTGGGAGCGGTCAGAGATCTGCCCGCTGCATCTGTGAGTCATTCTGAGCCTTCCTGAAAGCCAGGAGGATTTAGGATAATGGTTTCAAATGAATTCCGTTTTGAGTTTCACCTACGTCAGGGATACCAGGTTGCATCCTAACCGCACCTCGTTACTGTTCCTTGTGACGAACTACCGAAGTCAGTACCTTTGAACAGGTAGCTTTGATCTGCCTGACCTGCCTGGCTGGAGCTGACAGCAGCTCACTCCCTGTGCAGTGAATCAACATTTGAAACCTCCTGACAACACGGTACATTGAATACAGCGTATAACCGTAGCACAACTTAAAAAGTCTGTCTTCTGTAAAAATTAAGCTGATTCAGAACCTGACTTACTGCTTTCTAAACTTACATAGCAATTGCTATAATAACTGCTTTTTAAACAAAGGTAGGAACACTGTACTGTGAAAAGCTAGACTGAATCCTGTCAGCTACAAATATGTCTGTTCTCTAGTCAAAATACTTTCCCACTTTCCCAATGCCATTAATGAATGCCATATATTTCCAGAACTTTTTTCAGAACATTCTTGTTTTCTTCATACTCTTCTTTAAATATTATTCTTGGATTTTTTTTTTTGTTACATAAATGGATTTGTGGTTATCTGAATCCATGTGCAAAGTCCACTTTTATTTGTATGTCTCTTACTTTTCATTATCTGCTTTCAAACTATATTTTTAATGTGCTGTCCACCCTAAATACTCAGTTAGAAAAGCGTACAAGTCACTAGTATCAAATCGGTTTCTACAAGAATTTTAAAATGCATTTCAAATAGGCTTCATATGCAAGATATAAAATAATTTAATTTACCTCCTATAACTTGTGTCCCCTTATGGGGACAGGCCAAATTAATTTTAAATTTAATTTAAATACAAATTAAGTGTGGAGATTACAAAGTTGTTAATCTTCTCATTGTGTATGGACATTCCCACTTAAACTAATTTAAGCTAATTTAGTCCATACTTAGTTTTCATCTAAAAACTCTTTCCTTCCCAGGTGAAATATCAGTTTCTTTAGAAGATGATGAGGATGCTGCAAGAGATCCACTACTTTTTATGTCCCATGTCAGACCAGTTCAACTAGGTATAGTATGATGGCACAGAGAGATCAAAAACTAAAAAGCAGCATGGCTGTCAGAGCACTATCTGATAGCTTGAATACACTGTCATTCTGTTTCTGATCAACATAACTTTAAAATAGCCACACTTTTGCACCATCTCCTTCCCAGTTTTAGCACCCAGCAGTCTCATGCATCAGTGGATACTGACCACTGTATATGATGTAATACCTGCATGACCACCGTTCACATTCAAAACACATCCCATGCTATAGCTTAATCATATTAGCCACATTAACTACATTAATTTTGTTAAATGGTAGTGGAAGGTATGCCAAATGGTAGTGTGTGATACCCATGTCAACTTGTGGATTTTCTCTAACTCATGTAATTTCTGCTTAAAGCAGCATGAGTGAATGGCCTGAGCCAGGAGAGAGAGGCAGAGGTCAGACCTGTCCCACTGAGCAATCCTGATTTGCAGTAGTCTTCAAAGCAACTGTATCCTCTCTCCAAGCAAGGGATGGTCAGCAATGCTTTAGTCCAACCAACCATACAACAACTCATTTGGAAACCATCCTACTATAGTAGTTTTGCGGAAGCTTAGAAAAAAAATCAAATATGGCATAAACACATCTTTCAGATCAAAAAAAAATGTATATCCTATCTTAACAATTTTTTAAAAACAAATTAGAGCTAAAATACATTTGAGACAGAAGGAAAAGTGACCATGATAAATTTGTTTCAAAGCAGTGCTTGTGGGTAAGATATTTTGAATTACAATGTTTTTTAAAGGGAATGAGGAACAACCAGAGCCACCGTTTTCCACTCTGCATAGTGCAGAATGAATGAGCAGTACACCGCGTCACTAGAACTCATTTGAACTAATATCCACAACCAGAAGTGAGCTCAGTTGCAGATGAACTTACTAGTGAGAAATACTGGTCTACACAAGAACTAAAGAAACTGTATCCCTCCCAGATTGCCCCATACTCTGTGGCTTTGACTGGGAAGTGCAGGGAGCACCTTCTGCATTCTTCTTCCTCTCTTCTTCCCCTGAGCCTTTTCTCTCTGGTCTCAGTGGCACTCTCTGGTAGTGAAGAATGAACTGCTCTGGAAATACAGATAGTTGAAATACTCCCAGTAACACTGAGCAGAGACTACATCAAGCCTATCTGACGTTGGCAGTTGTCAACCGTGGCAATTCCTATGGTTGCATTCACTTGTAAACAAGCATTTTCTTTCACTCCCTCAGGAAGAAATGAAGAGAGCATAATTGGTATGTCACCTGAAAATTACCCTCCTCAACAACATACCAGTGAGCTGGCTGCTGCAGAGTCCTGATTAACACAGGACTAACAGGGAAAAAACTGGTATCTGTTAGTATGGCTTTTTCACAACTAGAATGAATTACGGAGACTAGCAAAGAATACCTCTATCTCAGACAAGTTTGTCCCCAGACAGGTTATTATACACAAATGTGTTCCACTGAAGCTGTATGTACAAGCAAAGGTCAAATATTTTTGCCATTACACAAAGCTCAGTGACTATAAAGCATCCAACCTGCGTAACCTGGCTTGCCCTTTTAGAGTAAGACACTGGCAAAGGCATTTATCACTTCTGTATGACTGCAAAAAACTGTGTCAGTAACTGTTACTGGGCACTTCCATGTTTGTTCTCTTTGATGAAGCACTGGAATTGTGTGGGTTTTTTAAAAAGAGTTATTTTTGCAAAGATTTAGAAAATACATGAGAAAGCACTTTCCAAACTAATATGATAATCAAAATGAAGTCTTAAAGCAAATTCATAATTAGAAACAAGGAAACATGAAAAAACTGCAAGAGATCATATTTCAGTGTTTTAAGTAATTGGGTGGTATCCTTAACCTCCTAATATTAAAAAATCAAGTTAAATACTGGAGAAAATTAAATAATATATTAGTCTGCAGAGTAAGATCACTTAAACTTTAATTTTTACTAAAAAACCCAAATATTTTTGATTGACCTGCACGGAGAAAGGTGGAGGTTCTGCACCATGAGAACCAGTTTGTTATCACACCAATGTTCTTGTGTGACTTAATGCAAAAGTCACCATTAAATGCAAAAGTCACCATTACTCGGCTCCCCTCAAACTGGGTGCTTTGTTAAGAGGTAAGGATTAGATTCTTCAGATCCTTACCCAGTCTGAATCTCTCCATCTGCATGGCATGAATGCAGAAAGTCAAGTCTTGATGCTAGTGTCAGTGATTCAGGGCCCAATTTATTATTGTGCTAATGCAGCACTTCCTATCTTCCCAACAGCACTCTTCTTCTCTCTAATGTCTCAAGGACAAAACAGCTCATTGGTTATTCTCAAAGGTGTTACAAGTAAAAGTTCAGTGTATTAGGGCACAGAAGAAAGAAATGTTCCTCTTAAATTAATTAAATGGACATGGGTTATTCTAATATCGGTTTTCAAGAGAAGGCAAAAATTATGTCAATTAACAAAAATGCTGACAAATTAATAACTAATACTTGATTTTAATGCCACCTCTGCTCCATCTTTCTCTGGAGGGACAAGTCATGAGGAAACAGCATACTTCATTCTCATTCTTTGTCCTTTCCCCAACCCAACCACCCAATGCAGGTAACCCGTATCTGTGTTTCTCCCCTACCCCACATGATGCAGGTAATCCAACGTCAGCAATAGAGGCTTCCAAAACACCGACTTTTATTCCAACAGTAGCAAATGAAGGAGGAAAACACTGGACTGTTAATGAAGTCAGAGCTTTGATACGCATATGGTCAGACAAAAATATCCAGCAACAACTGGAGGGGACAGTGAGAAATAAAAGAATATTTGAACAGGTTGCTGCTAGACTTCAAAAGTTCGGAATTGACAGGGACTGGAAGCAGTGCAGGACAAAATATAAAAATCTGAAACATGAATACAAGAGTATAAAAACTACCCAAGACTCAGGGAGTACAAGTAAAAGTATGAAATTTTTTAATGAACTGGATGCTATTCTGGGGCACAGCACCATGGAACAAGCAAGTAAATCAGATAATGATGAAAATGAGAGGCCTCCAGAATGGACAGAAGCAAAATCAGAGAAGGACTCCGTAGGTAAGTACTTCAGCTACCCATGTATCATTTAAAATTTTTAGTTTTGCAGCACTAGAGAAACCTTGAAAGAACCCCCAAAAAAGCAACCAGCTAGATTAACCAATTTGCTGGGGGGAAAAAACCACTGAATGGAAATTTACTATTTTGTCTGGTAGTTTTGTCTTACATTATAAGGTGATCTTTCAGATTGAGTGATTGCCCCAAACTTTTTTTAATAGCACTGAGAAACAAAAAAAAATGAAGACGTAGGATATGATAAAGTGATACAGAGAGATCATTGCAGTCAAAATCATGGCAGGAGAGACTTATTTCCAGCTTAGATAAAAAAACGGATCAGAGAGATGGTCAGACTGTGTTACTGGAAAAATGAAGACACTGAGCAAAAGAAGTCTGTAGTTATAGACATTGGTTAAAAAATTAACATTTAAACTGTCTTTCTCTTATGGTTCTCAATAGCCCAGTTTTACTGGCCTTTGGAGCAAGACTCCCAAACTATTGAGACAACTATTGTGAAAATCGCAGAAGGAATAGCACCAAGAATGCTGGCAGAGCTTGCCTTTATTTTTGTGTGGTTACTGATGAGTAACTTGGTAATGGATGGATTAATGCAGAATTAGAGTAGACTGATGAACCTACAGTACCCAGGACTTAAAACTTTTTTTTATTGGTATGTACTACCAGAAACATGCCTATTGTTTAAGAACAGAATTAAACATAAAACTATTTATTACACAGTAAGAATCCTACACAGGGGATGATATTACAATGGCCAAGTACAAGACTAGAATTTAGTAAAGTAATGGAAGCAGTCAAGAAAAATATAACACAGTCTCTGGCAGAAAACTATGAGAACATTTGGGGGGAAGATTCACTCTTCAGTTGCCGTTTCTAGGCTTTTTGCTAATGCATCTACTACTGCTTGCTGGCATAAAGAGCATCCCAGGCTGGAGGGATCTTTTGATTTGACACAGCACAGCTGTTCTTATATAGTACACAAATGCGGTGCCCTGATTAACATAGCATTATTTATGCAGAAATGCCTGGAGACACAGGTGAAGAGGACTCTATTAGTAATATGTCAGAAGACCTACAGGTTGCAGATATAAAGAAAGTTTCTGACTCAGGTAAACTGAAAAGTCTTCTATTTTATATAAATCCCTAAATTTAGTAAATTAAAATGGATTTCTAAGATAAGCCCACATTCTAATTACAGTTAGAAAATGCAGAAGCCTAAAAAACTTAGAAGCAGGGGATAACGTCATAGTGATAACCATATGTTCAATACAGGCATATGTGCACATTTACAGTGCTCTGCTACATTTGATAAAAACAGTCTAGTAAGTAATCTTTTCAAAGATTCATGACCCAAGATGTAAAGAAGAAACTATTGGTTTAAGCAAGTTGAATGCAATGTATTACTGCATTTACTTTTACTTAAACTGTGTCTTCCGAAGGATTAGAACTGTTCGGTCTCCTGTGCATGAACTAATATGGCATTCTCTTTTTCACGATATGATGTGATCGGTATTTAATATAATTGTCTAAATGCTCATGTCAGGGGATGAAAACTTCATTTAAGAGCATCACTATTAGCACTGAATATGAAGGTCATATGCTCTTTACAAAGAAACACTATAGTTTACATCTGAAAGCATAACTTTCAGGGGAAGCGGGAGTTTAACATTCAGCTAGAGACACATGAAAGTCTCAAAGGCTGACAGACTTGACTCTCTACAACAGAGGACCTCATGATCTCTTTCAGTAGCATGAGGCAGAATATGGTCTAAATTAGGCATTAAGGACTAGTCTTACAGAATTTAAAATGGTCTAACATGAAGTTGAAAGATTTTAATATCAAATTAAAAATCTTCTGACAGATGATGTTACTGTAAACACTACTCCAGAGAATCGGGCAGCTCTGCATGTAACGAAAGAAACATCTATGACAAGTAAGTAAAGACATGGTTGATCATGAGAGGTAATTTGAGGGATACTGGACAGCAGCATTTTTGTTTTACCATTCAAGAGCAATTACATTTATTAATTTAAATTTACTAACAAAGAAATATATAACTGGCCTTTTACCAGATCACCATGGGCACTTGAGGCATTCATTGGAGAAAAACAGCTTGTCATGCAAAGTGCATTGCCTATAGAGACCTCATTCTGAGAGAGATAAAATATGTAAGAAATCATAAACAGTACTTTGTGGGATTGTGTTAAGACTACTTGTAAAATGCATCAAATTCCATTTCTTCCCATCAACAAATAAAATTACTACATATACATGAACAGTAGTAAGACACTGTAATAATACAGCAGTGTAAAAATTCAGCAGTGCCACTAAACTCTCATCTGACATAGTTTTCAACTGCCTGCAGCTATGTAATAGTGTAACTTTTTAGACTGCAATCTTCCAAACGAGTTATTTAAGATAAAGTTAACTGAATGCTTCTAGTAAAATTCTGAGTACTCATTTTTGATAAGCGTAGGTGTTAAGACATCTATGGCTTACCTTGGTTACCATTTCCCTTCCCAAATACATGTATTTTAACTGCATATTTTGTTTGTTTGTGGGTAATTTTAATTGCAATCTGATTTTGTGGGGAAAGATTAAAATAGCAAGCGCTTCAGAAGTGTCTCTGGCTCAGCCTGTCCAGTCTACAGACTACTGTTCAAACTTGCATGGGGAAAAAAAGGCAAAACCACAGCACTCCATCATGAAGAGATGTGGTTTCGGTTTCCAAAATTCTTTCCCTCATTCCCAAATGAACAATACAGACTCAAATAATTTTACTACAGGTGGTAAAAACCACCTAGACTTTAATATTATTAATGATAACATAATTAGGTATTACATAAAGCTGAGAAAAAATGCACATTTCTTACGTAACAATATCATGGAGAGAGACCCTTTATTCTCTAATTGTGGTACATGCCTTTCCTAGAGAGTTCAAATAAATTTAAAGTGAGAAACTGGCAAGTAAAGAGATTGTATGTACCTATGTATTCATAAATTTACCTGCTGATAAATAGTGACAAAGGCAATCAGGCAGTGATATATTACATTGGTTCTTTGATACCAGTAGATGTCTGACATTCAATAGCCTTTAGGATGTGACTTCTTAAGGACTACTCCATATTCAACAGAATTTTTGTAGAAAACTGTTTCTCAACAAGCATGTAATTATAATTTTTATATATATTCACGTGCCTTTAAAAACATTTGTTAAAAAAAAACCAATGTGACATAAATAAGAATTTAGAAATTCTGTTAACCTTGTATCAGGGTATCTTCCTAATTAGTACATGGAGTTAATGTACTCTGCAGTCTGAGTTATACATACACTTGTCTAGACACATACTAACTAGCCTGGACAGACATCTGCTTTCTGGCAACCACAGCTGTGTAAATGTGCGGAGGTGCACAAGCAGCCTCAGAAGTGCAAGTGCTTCTTACGATCTTACATGTGAATCTGAGTTATTACCCACAGTAACACTGTCACCACTGCTAGTCTTTATAAACAGTCCCATCAGGTTTGCCATACTCTAGTGAGGAAAAAATTAAGAAGCTAGTAGTCAAAAGACAAATACACCAGTTTCAGGAAAACACCTAGTTATTTGATGTTTCATAGTATTGTTTTTCTCCTCAAAGAGCAGCAAATGCCCACCTGAGAAGGAAAAGACAGAGGTAAATAAATCCTTACGTGTTGTTCTCCAGACAGTAGCAGTTTACGGCACTGTCCCTGGCAGCACTGCCCTGGAGTGGCTTTCCCAAGGGGCTGCCCAGCAGAGGGTGCAAGAGCATCACAGCAATCACAAACCCATCGAGTTTTTAGCAAAACCAGCCTAGGAAAGGCTGGGGCCACTGTAGATTTTTCTCTTTTCTGGTAAAAGATACCTATATTAATTCAATCTGGAAATAACACCTTATTTAGTCATTTTGACTGATGTTTTCTGTTTCATGGGATCGCTTTTAAGGGCAGTCATTTCCAGAAATTTATCGAGAAGAGCCAATTGCATCAGTTTGCACAGGCAGGAGTCAGTCAATTCAAACTCCATGTACGTGTACATTCCATATGTGTCAGACTTTGCAGTATGACCACACACTGTGTACAGGTGTTTGATTAAAGCTGAAGTTCCAGGGAACAACAGTGGAGATGGAAACAAGATTCTAAGGACTGCCAGTAGCTTGATGTTCTTAAAACATAACTACAGCAAGTACTTTGCTTCAAGCAAATGACTTTTCTCATCACTGTTTTTTTTGATTTTTGGTGCCCCGCATACTTTACTATATGTTTCTCTTAGAACAAATGTGGAGTAAGTCATTACACTGCCAAGATACATTCCCAAGCAAGAGGTTTTTAAAAATCAGTTGTTTAACATCTTAAGTCGGTACATACTCGGGCACTTATGTTGGCTTGAACACTTCCTGCTGTGTGCTTGGAATTTTAAAATGTACAGATATAAAGTCAAAAGATAATGTTTCAATGCCCCAGGCTGGTGTGACATACAGTGTTTCAGAGAAGTGCAAAACCAAAAGTTCTTGATTATTCACTGGCTTAGCCCAAGGTATACTTGTGCTGCAGGCACAAGCTCCTACCTGTGCATCCAAGTTGTCTGTATCTGGTCTCATAGATCTGCATGACAGAGACAGCAGCAACTTTGCCAGCTGTTGAAGAGTAAACATAAGCCACACACTGAAAATTTTCCCTAGCTTTGACATTTCCCACTCCCCTTTTATACTATATAAGACACACATGAGAGTAAGGATTAGGAGACAAATTACTAATCTTGCTTCATGAGCCAGAAAACAGGATAAGTAGTGATAGTGACAGAGTGCCAGAAGAGAATAGAGCTTGTATCAGTCTGAGCGGGTAAAAGGAAAGCCTGTGACAGCATTGCTCTGGTGGCCTTGTGAGCAATGCTTCAAACACAGAATAGAGATTAAGCATATTTGCTGGCAGCCATCTATAGCTTTGCTAAACAATGTGGATGGAGCCACTGTGTTTTATCCATGCCAGAAACTGTCGATGGCTCGTTCTGTTTGGCTCATTCTTGCTCTCCTCATGCCCTCCCTCCAAAAATCCTGAACAGCGGCTTAGAAGAAACCCAGGCTCCCTACCCACATTCTTGGCTCGCTAAGAAAAAAAAACCCAAACAAAAAGGTGCATGATGCTGGTCACATTGTAAGAACGTCTGATGCAAACAAGGCCGTATTGATTTTGGGGGTAATTTTTAATAAATGGCTCTAGATTTTGCTTTATTGCTCAATGTTTAGGGGCAATATTCTTGAAAGGACTGAGAACAGGCTGGGAGCCAGAAACTGCCATCATCGATCCACGGTGTGGCCTTCACCATTTAATCTCTGTACGGCAGTGAGGATCGGAAAGACCACTTGCATCATCCTCCTATCTGTCTGCCTGTCCATCCCTACGTCCGTCTGTCCATCCCTCCATCCATCCCAGGGCAGAGGGGTGGAGTTCTCCCTTAAACACTGGAAGGCCAATGGCAGAGGAGCGGCGGTCTCCTCCCCGCGGAGGGGAGCCCAGGGACACCTCTGTCACCCTGCCTGGGGCCCAGCTGGGTGGTGTGCACCCCTCCCAAGCTGCAGCAG